CACCACATCACAGAAAGACATGAAAAGAGTATAGAAATGAGAAGGCAGACAACCCACCTCCATTTTCTTTTTTTTTTTGGGTAAAACTTATTGGTGCATCGGTGGTGCATTATAATACTGTTTGTCTTAATATAATCCGGTAATTATTGCACAATGAATTTGCATTACGAGTTCTTATTTTTACCATTTTATCTTCTAAGCTAGGTATTATATGAACCATTCTTGGCTATTTAAGAATGATTAAGAACTTACTCAAAATTTCTTATGTTCGAATTATAGAGTTTTTTTTACTTATGATCAGAACCATTGATATTATGAATCATCTATGAAGATTTCACTGCAAAAATAAAAAAAATAATTAAAATTAAGGTCGTTTAGTCAATCTGTTGTAACAAATACATATATGGTTCGTAACGCTTTTAGCAATGGAAACTTTAACGAAAAGCTCCCGGTACTATTCACTTTAACAAAAAATCATATTTTTATACTAAAAAATCAATTCTCGTACTATTCAATTTACCCTTTATTTTATCTTTATCGTTAAAGCTCAAATTTTTCAAGCTTTTTTCATTAGTTTTCCTATTAGTAAGGGAATTCCGTTCATCTGTTTTTACACAATTCGATGACTGAAAGACCTTAATTTTAATTGATTTTTACAGAGATGATCTTTTTAAAATGATTTATAATATAAATGATTTTGATCATAAATACGAAATTTTATGAGTCAGCAACGAACATTTTTTAGTAAGAACTCCTACTCATCCTTTAAATAACCAAATATTATTCTTTATCTTCCATTACTTAAAAACACTTCTCCAGCATTTTTTAGCAACGAACATTTTCAATTACTTAAAAACACTTCTCAAGCGAGCTTTCAATGTGCCTAATTCTTATATGTAAAATTCAAACTCACATAAATCATTTAAGGTTTTGAATGGAACAATGATTATTTAGTTAAGCTATAATGACGATTGGCCGCATGATTTATTTGAAATGAAAACTAATGAAAATGACTTGAAAACTTTGAGTTTTAACAAAACTGACAAAATAAAGGGTAAAGTGAATAGTACAATGATTGACTTTTTAGTGTAAAAATATGGTTTTTCGTTAAAGTGAACAGTACTGTGAGCTTTTCGTTAAAGTTCCCTTATTCAAATGGTTTTCTCACTTTTAGGTCATTATGCAAAATCTCTATTATGCTTGATAGCATGAATAATCCCATACAAAGCCAATGGGAATTTATTTTATTTTATTTATTTTTTATATAAAGATCAGCTAATGGCTTCGCTACAACAGTCCATTATTTTGGGGAACAAAAACACTTATAGAGGCATTTCAGCCATCATAATTTCTTATATAATTTAAAAGGTTGTTTTGTTTTGTTTTGCTTAGGGAAAGGTAGTTTCCTAGTAGTTGGTGTGGAAATTCTGGGTTGGATAACTTTTGTTTTATTCTTCTTGTATGTGTTTTGCATGGATTCCTTCCAGGAGATTCGAAATATGAAATCTTTGAAGATGTCAAACTCTTGTGTGTATTACTTTGTGGAGAATTTGGTACTTCTGTGAGTGACAAATTTTTACTAGCTAATGCTAGGAATGATAAATTTACAAACAAAATTTCAAAGGCTAAATGTTATGGAAGTTGATGATTTGATCATTACTTAAGCGTTGATAAACATATTCATTTCTATTTGTTACGCATAATTTGGTTTACAAATTTTGTCTATAAATTTAATCTTTTTAGCATTATTCTTTTTACTGCTGCTCCTACAGGTTCAGCAATCTAAGGCTGCTGAGACAATCATCACTAGACTTGTGTTGATTTCTTTGAATTTGCAGTGCATGCTTTTGCATCTTCCTCTCCTTTAGAACCATTAAACAGTTTATGATGGCAAGTGTCTTTGTAAACTAAAGCAAAGAACTCGGTTCGTAATCATATACTCAATCCATTGTGTCTTCTAACTACTCGAGCTCAAAATTAATAGTTAATTTATTTGTTGAGTCGATACTAGAAGTTGCGTTCGTGTATGATTTTTAATTTAATTGGATTTGTTTTTGCTCACCACTTTTAAGTTGTGAAGATGTTAGGATGTCCGGAATACAAAGAAAAACATTATATATTATTATACAATTAAAAACAATTTTTTAAAGTGTTTCTTCAATTATGTAATGACATATGATAGAAATAAAATGGATAGAAATAATTGACATTAATTAATCCATATTTCTTCTGTGAAATGCTCTGCTACTCTGCCTAGTTTTAAGGTCAGCTCTGAGTCCCTCGTTTTGGTCTCTGATGTAGTGCGCATTATGCGCATACCTCACTCTGCGGTTTGTAATATTGCCATTGATTTTCCAATTCAACCTACCAACGAAGCAACTTCCTACTTACTACCTTCCAATGTGAATGTGATAAAATAGAAGAAGTTGACACAAAATTTTCTGTCATTCATTGCAACTCCATTTGGTTAAACAATTTGTTTTTTTGTTATTGACGCGTTACTTTTTTATCTACAATACATTCATGAATCTCGTGATCTAGATGGGCCAAATCATTATCATATCACATTGTTATTAGTTAGAAACAGTTTAGCTACAAATATTCATCTTTTTTTTTTTTTCCGGTTACATGATAAAATGATACTCTTGGACACATCACTTTTCTTTTTCTTTTTCTTTTTCTTTGAGAAAAATAAAGATAAGTACATCACGCAAAACGTACAGATGAAATGCAATTCGTTTTACATAAAAACTTATTAATTAGCTCCACAAATCTGCAGGAAATCATATTAACCACTAGCATGCCATCAAATGTACATGTTTGGATTTTTATTTTTATACAACAATAATATTTACATTATAAATTGACATAAAAAAAATACCCATAAAACACCATAAAAGAATATGAAGCACATAAAAAAATTTTCTCACTTCCTCTTTCCATCTTCTTCCATCGTCTCTTCTCACGTTCTTTATTTTATCTTTCTCTTTTTATAAAAAATTAATATAAAATGTTAACGTGGTATAATCACGACCGTTCAAATAAAAAAATAAATATAAATATAAATATAAATATAAAAAAATATAAAAAATAAAATCCTACTCCATTTTTGTTACTTTATGATTGCAGAGGAGGCTGAGTAGGTTGGGCAGATAGGGGTGTGGACCGACCAATCCTAGCCTATAATATAGGTCAAGTGTACATTTGTAGGGCTCTAGAGTTGACAATGATGGGCCATAATAAAAGCAATTTTTCTTTTCATTTTTGGTAAAATTTATTAGTGGCTTGGTGGTGCATTACAAGAGTGGTTGTCTTAATAAAATGGGGTAATTATGGCGCAATGAGTTTTGCTTTATGAGTTTTTTTTTTTTTTTAATCATTTTATTTTTCATGCACTCTATATATTTATCTTCCAAAAGTATTCTCCAAATTCAAACCCCAATATTTCCTTACATTTTTCGTCTTTAAATGTTAAATAGTTAGTCATTTCGAAGTGTGACGGAAAATTGAGTTTGGTTCAAAGTTAGTTAGAAAATTTAAGTTCTATAAAAGTGATTTTAATTATTGAATTTAATTGAATTCATGAGTTTAATTCCAGTACAATAAATGATTAAGTTTTTGATAAAGACAAAATAAATTAACCAATAGTAGATTAAAAATAAGTTTACTATATGAATTTGAACCGCCTTAAGTCCAATATATTGGTTATTCTAACAACTCTTTTGAAAACTAGTTATTTTCTTTCTCTAAAAAAGTTGGTCATTTATTGCATGGGAAATAACCATGAGTAGAAATATCCCAAGAAAAATGTTAAGGAGACTCACTTAAAGTGTGACTCTTCATATAATTTCCGTCATCTCATATGTTTGGTATATGTTTCATAATGTTGGCACCAGAATTTTACGAAAAACATAAGGTGGCGGAGCATCCATGACGAGTCCCACTTTTGAGAGAATCTTCTTAGCATTTCCCATATCTCAATAGAATAACCAATACTTTAAACTCAATTACATGAGATGAGGATCGTACATATATCATGTTTGTTAATGCGGTGGGTCATCGGTTAGCAAAGTTAGCTTTATCCATTTGTTCTTATGTGTTGGATCGAGGATACCCCGACTTAATTCATGAGTCCTCCTCCAAGTTTTGGATTGTAATCTTGAATGATTTTCAGTAAATTATTGTCTCAACTCAAAAAATTAAAGAAAATTCAAAGCTCATTTGAGTAGTGCTTTTAAATGTCTAGAGCGATTTTAAAGAAATAATTTAAAAACACTTTCTAAACAAGCTCTTAATGTGCCAAATTCTTATGTATATAAATCTAAGTTTCCACCGTGACGAATGAGATAGAAAAACGGTGCATAATCACACTAAAAAAAATCACAGCTTACACACATTTTTTTTTCAAGTTTTCTTTAGCACCCAATCAAATTGAGCACGGACCTGGACCCAATAATTTGAACTCGGGCAGCCCATCGATAACACTTGCACAATACCGTACTGCAATAAGCAACATTTTTGATGTAGCAGACATCAACATTTATGAACAGACATCAAAACGTATTAACTTAAAAACAAAGCTCATACCAAAATGTCTTCTGAAATTACAGTAATAGACATCAAAACGTATTAACTTAAAAACAAAAAGAAAAATATTCACACACGAATTTTCTCGTTCTGAACACACTTATGATTATGTTCCTTGATTGATTATCTTTTGACTGTTTCGATCCAAAAGTCAAAAACAAGCAGGGAGCGTGCGGGAAGATCAAGGGTGTGCACGAATCACTTCCCCAGACTTCTGAAGATGGCTTCGTCCTCCGAGGGCAGTGCCACACACAGAAATCCGAAGTAGGAAATTGGATGTAAACCTATTTTGTCTTCTGATGGCTAAAAACTCTAATTAGTTTCAGGACATGAGCTCCATGTTTTCCTCAATGCTTCCACAGGGTCTAGGAAACCTGCACGTTTTATTCAGTGCTTTCAGGAGTCTGGGGGACCTGCAAGTTCTCTTCATTGTTCGCAACCAAGTTCTGGAGGGCCTCTGGCTCCTCGCCCGTTCTTGCCTGCAAGCTAAGCAAACGATTAATGCATGAACAACCAGTTTCCAGAATGCATGGCCATAAGGCTGTATTTTAACAGCCTCACATATTTCCTGACTATGACATAAGTCAAAAATTTCTTTTCGGGAGTGAAATTCACTTAAAGTGCCACTTTTCCCAGTATAATTAATGAACCTCCTACTGATTAGGACTACCATGGTTCAGAGTTGTTACCAAGAAAATTTCTATCATATGATGGCCTGCTCCAACCCTCCTTGACCAAAAGCAAGCTATGCGGTATCATCAATTTCTCCACGGCATCTTCCTCTAGAACAGTTAATCAGATGGTCGCCTTGCCTCTGTGATGGACGACCCTGCAATATCAGATAATAATAATCTAGGGTAATTCAACCACAAATACAGTAACAATTTGTTGCTCAAAATATATACATCAATTGCATAAAGAGTAAACATGTTACCACTGCAAGGAAACCGTGCTCTCATTTTTGTGAGTGGTCATCATCACCACTGCTCTCTTCAACCCACTCCAAGATGCCAGTGACATCAAGGGAAGATGTTAAACATCATTCCGCTGTTTTCTCTCTGCAGCAATGAAGTGGCATACGTTAGTCCCATCATGTTGTCCTGACTGATAAAATATTTGAATGCAATATACAATAAGTGTGATGGGTTTCTGAAATACATGTGACATATTGACAAAACCCTTGTTAATTATTCCCTCACTAACCAGGGGATAATTTAGCTAGGATCATATCCATGTGAATACGACAACCTGAGTACAAACAATCTGATTGATTTCGCATCCCAAAAAAACCACAAATCTTATGATTTCATCCGAAAACAGTCCATAATATTCATTTAAAGAACTTAATTATAAACAAAGGAGATCCATACGAATTTATAATGAAGCAAAATCTGACAAAATAATTCATCAATTTACACAAGAGTAAACATGTTACCGCTGCAGCACCTGAATGTTAAAAGTATCACAAGACGCCTTACTAGCTCCGCTGTCGTCCATTTTGCCAGTTGATTCTTCCAACAATTCAATATTCCGGCCTTCCAATCTATTGATGGTCTGGTCGACTCAACTAGTAAATAAAAGCCTGGCATTAATTATGAAACTGCAGAATGTGGCAGGACTTATATCTCTGGTTTTGTTCATCTTGTTATATATATATATATATATATATATATATATATATATATATATATACAGGTAGAAAACACTCCATAGCTGACAAAACATTCCCTGGATGAAGTTCACTTAAAGTCCCGTTTTTCCCAGTTTGTATGAAACTCCTACTGATTAGTGTTCGCACTGCTATATGCAATAATGTAAATGGTCACACAACTATGGTTCAGAGCTGTTACCAAGAAAATTTCTAACATATGACAGCCTGCTCCAACCATCCACCATCAAAATTAGCATAAGGCGTATCATCAATTTCTCTGCGGCATCTTCCACAAAAACAGTTAAATGAATCAGACAGTCACCTCTGTAGTGGACAATCCTGAAGAATCCAAATAAAGGTACTTTAATAGATAGACTTTTTTATCAAATTGCTGCCCTCAAGAACAAATTCCCCGGTTGATCATGCTGAAATGGCCAGAATAAGTTACTTTCAAAATGCGAGGACCTGTAAATAATCTTGAATGTAACATAGATCCATCAATTAAATGGCAAAGGAATACCTAAACTACAAGAATAAGCAATTAACAATATATCACAGGCAACATGATTCTCTTAAATGGAACATCTGGATGATGGATTTGAAAGTGCCAAGGGCTTAAGGCCAAATTAGTTAAAACTCACTACAAAAGATTAGATAAAGGCATATGAAAGACTAGATGCAATGTATCGAGAGGGATTTGTAAATGACTGCACGAAGGGAGACATTTATAAAAGTTTGTTTATGTTGTGTAATGATCACCTAGTGCATTTCAAATATCTATATCTAATGTTTTGTAGTTGATTTCTAACTAGCTTATCCTAAATTCCTCCCTCATCCAAACACAAGGTGAGAGAACTAGGAGTTTTAGCATACACAACTCATTAACATAGGGTAATACAAATTTGGGAAGAAAAAAAAAAGATGTCGACATGATAACGTAACTCACCTCCACTAAAATGGCTTGCGAAATCATTATGTGTACATTATCAGATTCCTTGCTTTACTGTTTATGATAACCTCTGGGAAGACTATGAAGAACATCTCCGCATCGAAATCCAAAAAGCATAAGAGAAGCATTTTCAAAATTTCCAAGTATATGAGCAAAAGAATTGCAGGTGATCCTGAACAATGTGTCAAAACCTGTTAGCAACGTCTACATTAAACTCCTGTAAACAATGCACGTATTCTAGTGTTCTCTCAGAACAACCTTGAAATAACAAAGAAGTAAGGCAGACTTTCATACCGAGTGGAGATATAGAGCTCATGGTTCAGAGTGATGCCTTGCATTGGTCCTTCGGAAACCCAAAAATAAAATTAGAAGAGGAATCTTGTGACTTATTTCTCTTTTCTTAATTTATTCATATTTGTCCAGCCAATCAAAGGGGTAACAAGTTAGAACCTTGATTCTAAGTTCCAAATGCAGAATATCAAAGTCCTTCATAAGAATTAGAAACAAAGAGAAGAATCCAGAGTTTTACCTTCACTGGTTTTCTCCAACTCCCGTTAATTCCACATCAAATTGGGAAAAATCATGTTTAATCCTTTCTTCTCATTGCTATTGAATATTGATTCAACTCGAGCTCAATCCTTTTGATAACTCATCTAGAAAAGATAGTCCTGAATCAAAGATGAAGAAATTATGATTTATAAAGTGATCTTAATTACTTGTGCAAGTTTGACAATCTGAAACTTTTCCTTATGTTATGATTCATGAATATAATCCACAATAATGATCCTGAAGAAAGAAAAGAAAAGGAGCGTAAGTTACAATCCAGTATTCAACAACTTACGGTGAAATCTGTAAGAGTGCAGCAGCTAGCCAAATTCACACATTGTGTTTTGTACAAAAACATACCGGCACCTACGTAAAGATGACAGATGCACTGAAAGATGAGTAAGCATTCCACTGTATTCAAGCCGCAGCAGGAGGAAAAAAAAAAAACCATCATCAAGGAGTTAGCTCGTCCGGTGCAGGAGAATCATATTCGTGACTCAGCTAGCCAGAGCACCCAATAACTTACTTGGTATTGTACACTGTACACAGTAATTTATGCAAGCAAACACCTGTTGCTCATGGATGATAGTGTCCTGAAATTTAAACAAGTATGTTTTTTAATGGTAGTATAGTTGAGTTAAACAGTTGAAAAGTTAAAACTGATTGATTAATTAAACACTATATATAGATGACAGCAAAAAGTTGAAGTGAAACTTTTACATAATCTGAATCTTGTATGTTATTCTATGGAAAATGGTGCTATGTACGTACCTGACTTTGAGCTGAGATCTCAAATGATGACTTGGTCGCCTATCTCGATGCAAGGAATGTGAGCCATCTTGCTCCACTACTCTCCTGTCTTCTCCTGACACCTGTTCTCCAGAAAAGAACAATTCTGGATGCTCAGACAAGAGAGCGATGCCGGCAAACCCTCTTTTGGCAGGAATTTGAGATTATCACAGCTTCTAATTTCAAGCTATTGGAGAGAAGTGAGGTGCTGAAAATCAAAGTGACATATTGACAAAACCTCATTAATACATGCGTTAGTCCCATCATGGATTTCTGTAAATACACACTAGATATTGACAAAACCCTCGTTAATTATTTCCTCACATATCCTATGATTTCATCCAAAAACAGTTCAGAATATTCATCTAAAGAACTTAGTTATGAACAGAGGAGATCCACATGATTCTACAATTAAGTAAAATTTGACAAAATAAATCATGATTTACATAAGAGTAAACATGTTACCAGTACCCCTGCAGCACTTGAAAGTTAAAAGTATCAAAAGCAGATAATAGGCACCTTACTAGCACCGCTTTTGTCCATGTGCCGGTTGACTCTTCCAACCATCCAATATTCCAGCCTTCCAACCCATTGATGATGTGGTCGAAGCAACTAGTACATAAAAGTATGGCATTAAATATGACAATGCAGAATGTGGCAGGACTTATATCTCTGGTTTTATTAATCTTGTTATATACAGGAAGAAAACACTGGATATCTGGCAAAACATTTCCAGGATGAAGTTCACTTAAAGTCCCGTTTTTCCCAGTTTTCATGAAATTCCTACCAAGTCGGTTTGTTCCGCAATAAGCAATAATGTACATGATCACACAACTGAGGTTCGGAGTTGTTACCAAGAAAATTTCCAACATACGACGGCCTGCTCCAACCATCCTCCATCAAAATTAGGTTAAGGCGTATCATCAATTTCTCTGTGGCATCTTCCACCAAAACAGCTAATGAATCAGACAGTCGCCTCCGTAGTGGACGATCCTGAAGAATCCAAATAAAGGTACTTTATTAGATTTGATATCAAAGTCAGATGTCATCTAACATATAGAATTTAGAAAACTTACCTTTTTGTCCTGCTACAACTTTAGATATTCAAGTGATTGCTAATAAAGCCCACAATGGTAGAGAAGAATGATGTAATCTCTTAATTCCTTCGGATCAGCTTCTAGGAGAATAAGATGTTCACAAGCTGCGACAAAGTAGCCTTAGCAGATGCAAGCTGAACGCCAGTGGAAAAATACCAAGTATCCTTATATATATGCACTTCAGTTGGATTAGTTTTAAGTAGAAACTACATTCACTTCGGACAAAGTACCTGTCTTCATTTACACTAGATCTATCAATAAATTTAGCAGCACGTGCTGCCCTCAAGAAAAAATTCCCTGGTTGATCATGCTGAAATGGGCCAGAATGCGCCCTTCAATTTTTTTTAGATCTGCACAAATAGTAAACTATGAGACCAGATACAGCTAAGATTAATGCCTTGTACACATGTCCGAAGATCAAATATGCATGTAAATAAATTACATAAAGACAATGTCACTCACAAACAAATGTACACAAAGATATATTTAATCTATACTTTGACTCACTTTGAGCACAAAACCCATACTTACAACTGCTCAATTGAAATCTACTGGTTGACATTTACATCCTAGCGCATAGAACGTTTCATTTTTGAAAACTTATTAGCTGTTGGATGAAGGCTGGTGAACAAAAGCTTTTCTACTCATTGGTGAATTGTAAATCATGATTAGGAGGACCTGTAGATATGGTACCAACTCAGGTCCATATCCATAATATCTGACAACATATATCGTACCAACTTATAGGCAGGTTCATAATATTCTGACTAAAGATAAATTCCTTGGTACTTTCAAATCCCTCATCCAAACACCGGGTGAGAGAACTAGGACTTGTAGCATACACAACTCACTGACATAGGACAATGCAAATAAAGGCAAAAAGACAGGTCTGTCGATATAATAACATAAGTCACCTCACCTCCACTAAACCTGTTTGCAACATCTACACTGAACTCCTGAAAACAATGGCCGTATTGTAGGGTTCTCACAGAACAACCTTGAAATAACAAACGAGTAAGGCAGACTTCCATACCAAGTGGAGATATAGAGTTCATATTGGTCCTTCAGAAACCCTGAAATAAAGTTAAAAAAGGAATCTTGTGACTTAATGCTCTTTTCTTAATTTATTCATATTTGTCCAGCCAATCAGAGTGGTAACTGGTAACCAGTTAGAACCTTGATTCTAAGTCCTTCATAAGAATTAGAAACAAAGACAAGTATTAAGAGAGTTTTACAGAATCTGAAGTGAAACTATTACAGAATCTCAATCTTATATGTTATTGTATGAAAAATGGTGCTATGTACGAGCCTGAATTTGACTTTAGATCTCAAATGATGACTTGGCCGCCTAACCGGATGCAAGGAATGTGAGCTATCTTGCTCCACTCTTCTCCCGTCTTCTCCTGACACCTCTTCATCAGAGAAGGACATCTGTCGATGCTCAGATAAGATAGCGATGCCGGCAAACCCTCTTTTGGCAGGGATTCGAGACTATCACATCTGTAAATTTTGAGCTCTTGAAGAGAAGGGAGGTGTTGAAGTCCCTTTCCCTCCAAAGATTTCAGACTTTTCATTCCATAGATTTCGAGAGTGAGAAGAGTGGTAGGGAGCGGCTGTTCCTTGAGCACCGTCTCCAACACATCCTCGCTTCCCTCGATCTCAAATGTTCGAAGGGAGACAAGTCGTTGCAAACCCCAGTACTCCACTGAAGGCCTTAGTTTCCCACAATCATTGATTCGAAATGATTGTAGGTTGGGAGGCAAACCTCCCTCAGCAAATGACTCTACACTTGGAAGACCAGATATCATCAAGTATCGAAGGGCGGTGAGTGTGTGTATTCGATCGGGCAATAACTTCAAATTCTCGCATCTACCGACTACAAAATGAGACAGGTTGGGAGTGGGCAACCCCCCGTGGGGAAATGAGACCAGATTTGGACAATGATAGATACGGAGAGAATCGAGATGAGTGAGATTTTCAACATCAGCTCCTTCTCCAATGGAAAGGGATTCTAGATTTTTAATGCCCCAGATCTGAAGAGATGAAAGTTTGGGGAAAACGCCCAGCGGGAAGGACCTCAGTGAATCACAGCTCCAACATAATTCGAAACGTCGAAGGGATGTCAATTTGGCCATCATCTCATGAGATAGGAATTCTAATCTCCTGCAACTTTCTATACGAAGATATGTCAACGAAGTGGGTAGACCATTTCTAGGGAACGACAGGAGGGACCCGCAATCATGGAGAGTCAATATTTGAAGACGACTGCTCAAGTGCGGCTGCAAGCAATCTGTGCGACTAAAAATTTGAATATCAAGCATGGAAAGCGAGGACAGCGTCTCCGTCTCTAGTAACGACGAGAGACCAGGGCATCCATTTATTTCCAGATCCTGAAGAGATTGTCGCAAGGATTCCGCGTTAACAATGAGAGACCAGGGTATCCACCTACTCCTAGTAGCCCCTTCATGCAGAACCCCGCAGTCGGACACTTGAAGTTTTTTCAAGCGAGGAAGATAATCCGGCAAGTTTCCCCTCAGCTTCGGACAACGCTGTAAAACCAGCTCCTCGAGACGAGGAAAGCCTGGACATTGACCTCTACCCGGACTTGGCAGCCATTCTACCCATTCTGGCATCCATTCGAATACCAGCTTCTTTAAAGAACGAAATGGCTGAATTAGAGAAATTCCATTGACACCATAAAACTCAGCACCAATACTCGTAATACATTTCATGTTGTATATATAGAGCTCCTTAAGAGCAGGCAACTGCCCAACTGGTGGCAACGCCCAACAAGTACTAAAACCACTGAGGCGCATGACTTTTATGTTGGAGAAGGAAGAGTCTCCCAACCAATTCGGAAAGCTTGTTCCACCATAACATCTGATGGTCAGTTTCACCAAATTTACAGAAGGTTGTAATTTTTCAAGTACTTGTCTCTCTTTTATGGAATCATCTGCATCCTCTCTACCCCATGCCAACTCTATTTCATTGAGATCTTTCTTATCCTTCAAATTGGCCCGCAAGGCATCCACAACATGGACTACATTCTCTAGATTCATGATAGAAAGTTCCCCTCCAAGATTGGGCAACTCCCCCAATTCTCCAATGCCACCAGACCTAGTAGATGTCCCCAATACATAACCAGTGAGTGTTCTCAAACTTTTTAGTCTACCCATTTGCGCCGGCATTTCTTTTATACCAGTATCTCTAATATCAAGATGGCGCAAATTAATCAGTTTCCTCATGTCTACAGGCAATTCAACAAGAGAGTAACAATGAGACAGCAATAGAGTTTGCAAATTGTAGAGACCACTCACGGTATCTGGTAACCTTTTAATAGCAGTGTAAGAGAGGTCAATGTAGCGCAAATGTATGTGCTCCCCGATGCAGTCAGGTAAGTGACTGACGTTTCTATATCCTGCCAAAGACAGTGCCCGTGAACATTTTAGGGTTGGCAAAAAATCATTTGGAACCTTACTACTTACATAATCCCACTTTGTCTTCCTTAAAGACATGGGTAAGAAGGTACGCAAATATTTAACTCCATTTAATGGCTGAAACTTTTTAGCGGCATCACAATATGCTTTCGCATATGACAAATGTCGAACTCTTTTAGGAACTTCATATGATCCTTCCTCATCCATCCGAAAACAAAATTCTCTAGACACGAACATAGCCAAGTCATTAATGAGATCATGCATTGTGAATCCAGGCTCCTCGGTTCTTGATCTTTGAATTAGTGATCTTGATACTAATTCATTAAAATAGTTCTCGCCAACCTCCTCCATTCTTGCCCCGCCCTCAGCTTGTGAAATTAAACCCACAGCCATCCAAAGTCGAACCAAAGTATGCTTCTCAAATTCGTAGTCCTTTGGAAAAATTGAGCAATAAGCAAAACATTGTTTTAAATAAGGAGGGAGGTAATGGAAACTCAATCTTAGAGATGGAAGAATACTATTTGCTTGTGGTAGCTCCCAAAGATTGCTATTCAATATATGATTCCATTTCTTGTAGTCCATGTTGCAACTTAAGAGACCTCCAAGTGTTTTCGCAGCTAAAGGCAGACCATTGCACTTACGTGCAATTTTTTTACCAATTTCTTCCAAGTCTGGATGTGCACTTGCGTTTTCATTTCTAAAAGCATGTTTTGCAAGTAACAACCAACAATCATCAGGCGACAATTGTTTTAAAGAGTGAATAGGAACAGTGTGCACGATGGAAGCAACACTTTCGTTCCTTGTTGTCACAATGACCTTACTTCCCCTCGCCCCATAAGTGAAAGGAGCTTGTAGAACACTCCAATCATTATAATTGTCATTCCAAAGGTCATCCAACACAAGTAGAAACCTTTTCCCCGTTAGTTGTTCCCTAAGAGCAACTTGAAGCAAGCTCATATCTGACTTATCACAGGGTTTTGAAGCAATTGACTGAAGAAGGGTTTTAGTGACCCTAACAGCATCAAAGTCTTCGGAGACACACGCCCAAGCTCGAACATCGAAATGCTCTTTCACCCTGTCATTATTGTAAAGGAGTTGAGCAAGGGTTGTCTTACCAACTCCTCCCATTCCCCATATGGGGATTACAGATGTATTGCCGCCCCTTGCATCATCAGATAGCAGCAGTGTTTTCAACTTCGCTTCATCTTCATCCCTACCATAAGTACAGAATTCATGCTCAACAAAGGAAGTTGTGGGAGTTCTTTGTGAAAGCTTGCCCCTGACACCTTCTCTGAGACCGAGCACACGTTTCTGTTGTGCAAGGTTTTCTAGTTCTTCAAGCAACTCTTGAATCCTACCATTCATGCCCTGATAAAAAGGATTAAGAGAAGTAGAGAGGAAGTTCCACACCTGGGTTCGCTTCGTTTGATATTCAGCTTCCACCTTGCGTCGCAATACTTCAGTATCGATCTCATCCAGCAGGTCCTCGGCTTCGAAGACAGCATGTTTGAGCTCGTCAAGCCACTTTTCCACACGGGGATTCTCCATCTGCTTCTCCTCTGCATCGTCAAGCACTGCATCAAGGGCCAGAAACGTCCGCTTCAGTTTCTTCAGGAGTGAGTAGTCAAGTTTTTTTCCCCGGAAGAAGTCCATCAACTCGCCAGAAGCAATCTTGTCGCACAGCGTCTGAATTGAAGCAGAGAGAAAAGCCTCTCCAATCAAAGCCATTTTTTTTTTCTTTCAGGAAACTAGTAGTCGGAGAGAAGCGTTTTGTAATGGAAACAAAAGCTTAAACTCTTATGAAATTCACATTTGTGAGTAGGACGACCAGATACTGTATTGATCAATAATTCAGCGGACCACACACGTTAAAGCATAAAGAAAGAATTTGTGGTCCTGCTTTGTTTGCGAGTGGAAAAGTGTAGGCTAAAAATGCGCCGGTGGGATGGGGTGGGTGAGTGGAAAAGTAACAATGGTAACGTCGGTGCTACGGTCGAATTGTCATGTGTTCACACGGTATATTGTACATCTCCGGATAAAACTAGATATCTGCCTGAATGGAAGCATCATCAAATAATAAGGTTACAAATTAAAAAGTTAAAAAATTTATTAAATAAAATACTTATATTAATTTATTAATTTTTTATATAATATATTACAATATCGTTCAATATGTTTTATATTTTGAAAACATTGCATGACAGCTTACCAAATACCATCAAATCTTTATATATAAAAAATTAATTATGATATCATTCACTAATTGATCTCTCATCTGATTTCTCAATCAATTCTTTAAAATTTCACAACATTTTAACGTTGATAGTAATAATTAAAAGTTATTATTAATATCACAAACAAATAAAGTAGTAATACATATAAGATATTGCTAATGTCACAAGATTTAAAAAAACATAAAAACAAATAATGAGCTGGCCAATAATTCAGTGGAGTACACACGTTAAAGCATAAAGAGAGAATTGGTGGTTGTCCCTTGTTTTGTGGGTGGAAAAAGTCTAGGCGAAAAATGTGTCGGTGGGATGAGTGCTGGTTGCTTTCTTTCTACTTTGCTAAAGCAACATCGGTGCAATGGACGATTGTCATGTGTTCAGACAGTACATTATGCGTTCCACTAATATTTGTCTGTCCTGTGTCACTCAATATAAGTACCACTAATATTTGTTTGTTCTGTCACTCTTTATAAGTTCCACTAATATTTGCCTGTTCTGTCACCTTTGTAACTGAAATCCAAATGGTTACGGACCCTAAGTTTCTCCCCTTATTGAGTAAATTTTAGTTAGGTGTATCATCCACGTAGATTTACACACTATGTAGATATATGATTCCACATAATTTTGTCATTACTCAAATCACAAATGAAGTAACAACTTGTTATATACATCAATTTACATAAGAGTATCACAAGCAGAGATAATAGACCCCTACTACCTCCGCTGTCGTACATTTTGCCGGTTCATTCTTCCAATATTCCGGCGTTCAAATTTACTGAGGATCTGTTCAACACAATTACTACATAAAAAACTGGCACCATATAGGAAAATGCAGAATGTGGCAGGACTCGTATCTCCGGTTTTGTTCATCTTGTTATATACGGATAGAAAACACCGCATATCTGGCAAAACTTTTCCAGGATGCCGCTTTGCCGGTTTACATGAACCTCCTATTGATTTGGGTTTGTACTGCTATCTGCAATAATATATGCGAAGACTACCATGGTTCAGAGTTGTTACCAAGAAAGTTTCTAATATACGACGGCCTGCTCCAACCATCCTCCATCAGAATTAGGTTAAGGCGTATCATCAATTTCTCTGCGGCATCTTCCTCCAAAACGGTTAACGAATCAGACGGTCGCCTCCGTAGTGGACGACCCTGAAAAATCCATATGAAGGTACCTTAAAAGATTTGCCATCAAGGTTGTATGTCGTCATACGTATAGAAGTTAGAAAACGTACCTTTTTGTCCTGATATAACTTTAGATATTCAAGTGATTCCTCGTAAAATCCACAATGGTAGAGAAGAATGCTGTAATCTCTTAATTCCTTCGGATCAGCTTCTAGGAGAATAAGACGTTCACAAGCTGTAACAATAGATACAACGTTCAGATAACAAAATGTGGCAGCGGGCACAATATGTCCAACGGTGACGATAAAATTCCAAATTTCAAATTGCAGTACAAGAATTTAACTTGAAAAGTCAAATCCTACTATTAACTAAAAATCACCACGGGACCTCAAACAGGTTAGAGATGCTTCTACAACTTTATTTAAAGATGGCTATGGATAACACGTTATTTTACTTGAAATGACTTATTGATAAGGAGTCGGACCCTGTCCTCCAGAAAATGCAACTACAATTGTCCCAAGACATTCCCGGTGACATCTCAATCTATGTTACCGCTTCAACAGCTTCAAGAAGCATAATCTATTGACTTTGACATTACCTTCTTGACACTGGGATTAAATACGATTCAATAAATGCGTACCAGATAGGGCACGCCTCATATCCCCAAAATGTACACTAGTCCAAACACCACGATCTAGTCTATGTTGAGCAGCCTTCGCAGATGCAAGCTGAAAGCCACTGCAAAAATAGAAAGGATCCTCACATATATGCACTTAACTTATATTAGTTTTCAGTTGAAACTACATTCATTTCGGACAAAGTACCTGTCTTCATTTATGTTTGATCTATCGATAAAGTTAGCAGCACGTGCTGCCCTCAAGAACAAATTCCCTGGTTGATAATGCTGAAACGGCCAGAATGCGTCCTTCGAATTTCTTAAAATCTGTACGTACAGTAAACTATGAGAACAGATATGGCTAAGATTAAAGGCTTGGACACATGTCTATAGACCTTATCAAATGTTAACCAAATATGTATCTATATACAATTCAATGCCTTAAAAGGCAAAGGCGTGGGCGAGACGTTCACGAGACCTATATATATATATATATATATATATATATATATATATATATATATAATACTTTGTAAAACAAATATTCATTGTCATTCAAAGATGCACAAGTCGCAAACAAGTTTAACTTGCATCAAAAACAAGTTTAACCAAGCAATCAAATGTACATAAAGATGCAAACACATAATCGATAATCTATAGTTCTACTCACCAAAATCTATGCTTACAACTGCTCAATCGAAATCTAATGGTTGAAATCTACATCCTAGCAGAGAGAACGTTTCTCTTCTTTAAAAAAAAAAAATTAACAGTCGTTGGATGAAGGTTGGTGAACAGAAACTATTGTACTCATTGGTGAATTGTATATCATGATTCAGAGGACCTGTAGATATGATACCAACTCAGGTCCATATCCATAATATTCAGACTAAATACATGGTACCAACTTAAGGCAGGTTGGTAGTATTCTGACTAATTATACAAGTTACTTTCAAAGTAGGAGGACCTGTGGGTAATCTAGAGCACATGGAACCAATTTGAATAACATAGATTGCATTGCCATAACCAAAGATAAATGACAAAGGAACTAATCAATTAACAAAATACCACAGGCAATATGATCACATTGCTCATTTAAAATATCTATATCGAATGTTTTGTGGTTGAATTCTAACTAATTTATCCTAAACCTCTTGGCATTTTCAAATCCCTCATCCAAACACAGGGTGAGAGAACTAGAAGTTTTAGCGTACACAACTCGCTGACATAGGACAAAACAAATTAAGGCAAAACAAACAAATTTCAACATGAAAACATAAGTCACCTCCACTAAAAGGGCTTGCGAAGTCATTATGTGCACATTATCAGATTCCTTGCTTTTCTGTTTATGATAACCTCGGGGAAGACCATGAAGATCATGAGGAAAGAATATCTCCACATCGAAATCCAAAAAACCCCATAGGCGAAGCATTTTCAAAATTTCTGAGTATATGAGTGAAAGCATTGCAGGTGATCCTGAACGATGTGTCAAAACCTGTTTGCAACATCAACATTAAACTCCTGAAAACAATCCCCACATTCTACTGTTCTCGCAACCTTGAAATAACAAATAAGTAAGGCAGACTTCCATACTGAGTGGAGATATAGAGCTCGTGATTCAGAGTGATACCTTGCAATCGTCCTTCGAAACCCTGAAAAAAAGAGCAGATAAAAAATAGTCAGCGAAAGCAAGAATTTTGCAGCGAGGGGAAGAGCCAAGAAGATACACAGATCCTGATTTATTTAAAACAAATGATAGCTTTTCTGCTACAAAGTAATTGTTTCCCGATATGAAGTTTATCTTAGTTTCTCCCTGCCACATTCCTTCAGCATTATAAGTTCGGCAGTTTCCCTACCAAGCTAAAATTTAGTTAAAAATAAAATGAATCACTTAAGAGTTTTTAAGTTCAACTTTGAATCAACTACAAAGGAATAATAATCCAAGTTATTGCAAACAAAAACTCTATCAATCAACATTACCTTATTTACGTACAAATAGTTTTCCAAACTCTCCAACAATTTCTCAGGCGAGGATCTAAATGAAGAGTTGTGGTGAGAACAATAGTCCATGGAAAGATCACCAAACCTACTAATAAAAGCATCCGCCGGAAGCGGAACTGAAGAATGTGACACAAGGGAGTCATCTTCTGCTGCAATGTAAAGAGCTGTTTTCCCCAAATCAACACATCTATTGATGGTAATGCTGGTTTCCCTCTCTATATCAGACAGATGGCGAATTTGTGAGCAGAACCCCGCCCTGGGTGGTCGGAAAAATGTATTGTGTGGTCTTCTAGAGTAGGAAGATATAGGATGCGTTCATTGCGTTAGATCATTCAAGATTGAATTAGCTTTAGAAATTATACTAAATTAATTTAATGAAATATTTGATATAATGTCGCACTAGAAAAACAGGATAGCTAACCAAATAAGCAAGCAAATTAAAGGGCAACCGGAAACTGTAGAAGGAAAGAGGAAGCTAATAAATGACATTAATTAATCCATATTTCTACTCTGCTTGGTTAGTATTAAGGTCAGCTGCAGCGCGTTCTGGTGGGGCTGGGCTGTTCCTGATATCGCAGCCTTCACTCTGCAGTTTTTTACTACTGCCACCTATTTTCCTTTACATCCTTTTTTTCTATTTTACTTTTGAGTTTTGAGTTTTGTAGCAATAATATTCTATCATCCAATAATTACGAGTTTTGAGTTTTGAGTTTCAGTCTTTGATTTCATAGAAAATTTAGATTTAAGGTTTTGGCAGGAATTGCCATCAATGTTATCGGATTACCTCAAGTTAACTACATATTATTATATTTTGAATTTTACAACAAAACGATTCATAGATATATTTTTGAAATAAAATGTTGTTTACTTTTATGTGTAAAATAACTATTTTTATTATTTTATAGTAGCAGACTAGGCTGAGTGGGTTAGGCAGTAGAGGTGTGGACCGACCTACCCTGGCCTATATAGGTCAAGTGTAGATTTGTAGGGTTCTAGGCACTAGGGTGGTAGGTAGCTTAGGTGGAGATTGACACTCTGGCTCGGTTGATAATGATGGGCTATGATAAATGCTAATTTAGCCAAGTTGTAACAAATATATAGATGGTTCATAATGCTTTTAGTAATGGAAACTTTAACGAAAAACTTCCGGTACTGTTCACTTTAACGAAAAACCATATTTTTATATTAAAAAGTCAATTTTGGTACTATTCACTTTACCCTTTATTTTATCTTTATCGTTAAAACTCAAAGTTTTCAAGCTTTTTCATTAATTTTCCTATTAGTAAGGGAATTCCGTTCATCTGTTTTTTACACAGTTCGATGATTGAAAGGCCTTAATTTTTAATTGATTTTTGCAGAGATGATCTTTTTAAAGTGATTTATAATATAAACGGTTCTGATCATAAATACAAAGTTTTATGAATCAGCAACGAACATTTTTTAGTAAGAACTCCTACCCATCCTTTAAATAACCAAGTATTATTCTTTATCTTCCATTATCCGCTACGTATTCTCCAAATTCTTATTTCACAAACCAAACATTTTTCTTGTATGTGTTTTATTCTTCAAACTTTTGTTTTATTCTTCTTGTATGTGTTTTTCATAGATTCCTTCCGGGAGATTCCAAATATGAAATCTTTGAAGATGTCAAACTCTTTTGTGGAGAATTTGGTACTTTTGTGAGTGACAAATTTTTACTATCTAATACTAGGAAGGTTAAATTTACAAATAAAATTTTAAAAATTAAATGACATGAAAGTTGATGATTAGATCATTACTTAAGCGTTGATAAATATGCTCATTTCTATTTGTTACACATCATTTGGTTTACAAATTTTGTCTCCAAATTTAATATATTTAGCATTATCCTTTTTACTGCAGCTCCTATAGAAACTGGACTTCTTTTTCTGGCTCGCACAGGTTCAGCAATCTAAGGCTGCTGAGACAATCATCACTCGACTCGTGTTGATTTCTTTGAATTTGCAGTGCATGCATTTGCATCTTCCTCTCCTTTAGAACCATTAAACAGTTTATGATGGCAAGTGTCTCTGTAAACTACAGCAAAGAACTCGGTTCGTAATCATATACTCAATCCATTGTGTCTTCTAACCACTCGAGCTCAAAATTAATAGTTAATTTACGTGCCCTTGGATGTTAATTTATTTTTTGAGTCTATACTAGAAGTTGCGTTCGTTTATGATTTTTAATTTAATTGGATTTGTGTTTGGTCACCACTTTTAAGTTGTGAAGAGATTAGGATGTCCGAAATACAGAGAAGAACATCATATGTTATTATACAATTAAAAACAATTTTTTTAAGCATTTCTTCAATGATGTAATGACATATGATGTTATTCTGATTAAATAAATAAAATAGATAGAAATAATTAACATTAATTAATCCATATTTCTTCTGTAAAATGCTCTGCTACTCCACCTAGTTTTAAGGTCAGCTTTGAGTCCCTCGTTTTGGTCTCTGACGTAGTGCAAATTATGCGCATACCTCACTCTGCGGTTTGTAATATTGCCATTGATTTTCCAATTCAACCTACCAACGAAGCAACTTCCTACTTACTACCTTCCAATGTGTATGTGATAAAATAGAAAAAGTTGACACAAAATTTTCTGTCATTCATTGCAACTCCATTTGGTTAAACAATTTGTTTTTTTTGTTAATGACGCGTTACTTTTTTGTCTACAATACATTCCTGAATCTCGTGATCTAGATGAACCAAATCATTATCACATCACATTGTTATTCGTTAGGAACAGTTTACCTACAAATATTCACCTTTTTTTTTCCGGTTACATGATAAAATGATTATCTTGTACACATCACTTTTCTTTCTCTTTTTCTTTTTCTTTGAGAAAAATAAAGACAAGTACATCACACAAAGCGTACGGATGAAATGCAATTCCTTTTACATAAAAACGTATTAATTAGCTCCACAAATCTGCAAGAAATCATATTAATCACTAGCATGCCATCAAGTGTACATGTTTGGATTTTTATTTTTATACAACAATAATATTTACATTATAAATCGACATAAAAAAACCCATAAAACACCATAAAAGAATATGAAGCACAAAAAATGCATAAAAGAAATGCTTTTCTCTCTACCTACGAAGCAGTTTCCTATATACTAGCTACTTTTCATTGTGACCGGAACACAGTTGGTATATCACACATTTTTATATAAGTGGTAGAAAATTTTATTTTTTAAGTTATTAAATTTTCAACACACATATCTCACCATTTATATAATGACATGTGATGTATCACCTCATGTACCGGTCACACTGAAAAATCTTTTATAAATGTGGTCGAAGTTGAAAGATAAGGATCTTCTTGGGAACTTCATTTCAAAAGTGGATATTAATTTAAGGGTAATGTTAGGAAAGTTAAATTTGTAAAGTAAATTACATAAAAGTTAATGATTATATTATTACATAAGTATTGATTAACTTGCTTACTTTTTATTGATGACACATTAATTATTTTACAAATTTAATCTCTTCACATAACTTTTCATTTAAGGGAGCATTTTTGCTCACCACCATTTAGTGTGTTGTATGCTCACCATCCAATTAGTGTGGTGTATGCTCACCATCCAATTTATCATCGTTAGAGGAGTTTAAATTTTGATATTCGTGTAATGGATAAGCACAAATCTCAAAATTCAAACTCATCTAAAGATGATAGATAGGATGATGAACATATACCACACTAAATGGTAATGAACAAAAATGCACTCTTAATTTAAAGGAGATGAAGCTTCATTGCAAGCCACTACTTATTACTTTTGATGTAATAACCACAAACGACTGAAAAATATAAAATTGTTTGTTAGCACGCGATCTTTAATTTAACGAAGAATTTGTCTTATTCATTTGTTTTGTTTTACTTTTTGGAACTTTTTGTTTCTCTTATCAGCGACCGACTCATTATGGTTTATTTGTATTTTTATAAGTTGAACAAATATTACATTGTATTCGTTTTTAAAAATGAAACATCTCATATATATAAGTTGAACAAGTTTATTTTCCAACGCATTTGAAAATTTGTTTACTTTCAGGTGTAAAAAACTCGGGCAGCCCACCGATGACACTTGCACAATACCGTAGTGCAATAAGCAACATATCAACATTTATGAATAGACATCAAAACGTATTAACTCAAAAACAAAGCTAATACCAAAATGTCTTTTGAAATTACAATAATAGACATCAAAACGTATTAACTTAAAAGCCAAAAAAAAAAAAAAAAAAAAGAAATTCACACACGAAATTTTTTAGTTCTGAACACGCTTACTATTATGTCCCTTGATTGATTATCTTTTGACTGTTTCAATCCAAAAATAAAAAACAAAGAGGGAGCGTGCGGGAAGATTAAGGGTGTGCAAAAATCACTTCCCCAGACTTATGATCCAACTATTCAGAAGTTGGCCAACTTCTGAAGATGGCTTCGTCCTCCGAATCGGCAGTGCCACGCAGAGAGAAATCCGAAGTACGAAACGACTTCCATATAGGAGTTTTATGCAGAAACTGGGGCAGCCGCATACTGGTAACTTGGATGTAAACCTACTTTGTCTTCTGATGGCTAAAAACTCTAATTAGTTTCAGGACATGAGCTCCATGTTTTCTTCAATGCTTCCGCAGGGTCAAGGAAACCTGCACGTTTTATTCATTGCTTTCAGGAGTCTGGGGGACCTGCAACTTCTCTTCATTGTTCGCAACCAAGTTCTGGAGGGCCTCTGGCTCCTTGCCCGTTCTTGCCTGCAAGCAAAGCAAACGATTAATGCATGAACAACCAGTTTCCAGAATGCATGGCCATAAGGCTGTATTTTAACAGCCTCACATATTTCCTGGCTACGACATAAGTCAAAAATTTCTTTTCGGGAGTGAAATTCACTTAAAAGTGCCACTTTTCCCAGTATATTTAATGAACCTCCTACTGACAAGGACTACCATGGTTCAGAGTTGTTACCAAGAAAATTTCTATAATATGACAGCCTGCTCCAACCCTCCTCGCCCAAAAGTAAGCTACGCCGTATCATCAATTTCTCCACGGCACCTTCCTCTACAACAGTTAATGAATCAGATGGTTGCCTTCCCTCTGTGATGGACGACCCTGCAGTATCAGATAATAATAATCTAGGGTAATTCAACCACAAATACAGTAACAATTTGTTACTCGCTCAAAATATATACATCAATTACATAAAGAGTAAACATGTTACCACTGCAAGGAAACCGTGCTCTCATTTTTGTGTGTGGTCATCGTCACCACTGCTCTCTTCAACCCACTCCAAGATGCCGGTGACATCAAGGGAAGATGTTAAACATCATTCCGCTGTTTTCTCTCTGCATCAATGAAGTGGCATACGTTAGTCCCATCATGTTGTCCTGACTGATAAAATATTTGAATGCAATATAAAATAAGCGTGATGGGTTTCGGAAATACATGTGACATATTGACAAAACCCTCGTTAATTATTCCCTCACTAACTAGGGGATAATTTAGCTAGGATCATATCCATGTGAATACCACAACCTGAGTACAAACGATCTGATTGATTTTGCATCCCAAAAAAACCACAAATCCTATGATTTCATCCAAAAACAGTCCATAATATTCATTTAAAGAACTTAATTATAAACAAAGGAGATCCATATGAATTTATAATGAAGCAAAATTTGACAAAATAATTCATCAATTTACACAAGAGTAAACATGTTACCACTGCAGCACCTGAATGTTAAAAGTATCACAAGATGCCTTACTAGCTCCGCTGTTGTCCATTTTGCCAGTTGATTATTCCAACTATTCAATATTCCGGCCTTCCAATCTATTGATGGTCTGGTCGACTCAACTAGTAAATAAAAGCCTGGCATTAATTATGAAACTGCAGAATGTGGCAGGACTTATATCTCTGGTTTTGTTCATCTTGTTATATATATACAGGTAGAAAACACTCGATAGCTGACAAAACATTCCCTGGATGAAGTTCACTTAAAGTCCCGGTTTTCCCAGTTTGTATGAAACTCCTACTGATTAGGGTTCACACTGCTATATGCAATAATGTAAATGGTCACACAACTATGGTTCAGAGTTGTTACCAAGAAAATTTCTAACATACGACAGCGTGCTCCAACCATCCACCATCAAAATTAGGATAAGGCATATCATCAATTTCTCTGCGGCATCTTCCACCAAAACAGTTAAATGAATCAGACAGTCGCCTCTGTAGTGGACGATCCTGAAGAATCCAAATAAAGGTACTTTAATAGATTTTTTTTTTTTTTTTATCAAAGTAGCACGTCATCATACATATAGAAATTAGAAAATATTTTATCCAGCTACGATCTTAGATATTCAAGTGATTGCTCATAAAATCCACAATGGTAGACAAGAATGCTATAATCTCTTAATTCCTTCGGATAAGCTTCTAGGAGAATAAGATGTCCACAAGCTGTGACAAAGTAGCCTTAACAGATACAAACTGAAAACCACTGAGAAAATACAAAGTATCCTTATATATGTGCACGTATCTTAGATTAGTTTATGTAGAAGCTACGTTCATTTTGGACTAAGTACCTGTCCTCATTTATGTTTTATCTATCAATAAAGTTAGCAGCATGTGCTGCCCTCAAGAACAAATTCCCCGGTTGATCATGCTGAAATGGCCAGAATAAGTTACTTTCAAAATGCGAGGACCTGTAAATAATATTGAATGTAACATAGATCCATCAATTAAATGGCAAAGGAATACCTAAACTACAAGAATAAGCAATTAACAATACACCACAGGCAACATGATTCTCTTAAATGGAACATCTGGATGATGGATTTGAAAGTGCTAAGGGCTTAAGGCCAAATTAGTTAAAACTCACTACAAAAGATTAGATAGAGGCATATGAAAGACTAGATGCAATGTATCAAGAGGGATTTGTAAATGACTGCACGAAAGGAGACATTTATAAATAGTTTGTTTATGTTGTAATGATCACCTAGTGCAATTCAAATGTCTATATCTAATGTTTTGTAGTTGATTTCTAACTAGCTTATCCTAAATTCCTCCCTCACCCAAACACAGGGTGAGAGAACTAGGAGTTTTAGCATACACAACTCATTAACATAGGGTAATACATATTTAGGAAGATAAAAAAAAGATGTCGACATGATAACGTAAATCACCTCCACTAAAATGGCCTGCGAAATTATTATGTGTACGTTATCAGATTCCTTGCTTTACTGTTTATGATAACCTCTGGGAAGACTATGAAGAATATCTCCGCATCGAAATCCAAAAAGCTCCATAAGAGAAGCATTTTCAAAATTTCCAAGTATATGAGCAAAAGAATTGCAGGTGATCCTGAACAATGTGTCAAAACCTGTTTGCAACATCTACATTAAACTCCTGAAAACAATGCCCGTATTGTAGTGTTCTCTCAGAACAACCTTGAAATAACAAAGAAGTAAGGCAGAATTTCATACCGAGTGGAGATATAGAGCTCATGGTTCAGAGTGATGCCTTGCATTGGTCCTTCGGAAACCCAGAAATGAAATTAGAAGAGGAATCTTGTGACTTATTTCTCTTTTCTTAATTTATTCATATTTGTCCAGCCAATCAAAGTGGTAACAAGTTAGAACCTTGATTCTAAGTTCCAAATGCAGAATATCAAAGTCCTTCATAAGAATTAGAAACAAAGAGAAGAATCCACAGAGTTCTACCTTCACTGGTTTTCTCCAACTCCCGTTAATTCCGCATCAAATTGGGAAAAATCGTGTTTAATCCTTTCTTCTCATCGCTATTGAATATTGATTCAACTCGAGCTCAATCCTTTTGATACCTCATCTAGAAAAGATAGTCCTGAATCAAAGATGAAGAAATTATGATTTATAAATTGAACTTAATTACTTGTGCAAGTTTGACAATCTGAAACTTTTCCTTATGTTATGATTCATGAATATAATCCACAATAATGATCCTGAAGCAAGAAAAGAAAAGGAGCGTTAGTTACAATCCAGTATTCAACAACTTACGGTGAAATCTGTAAGAGTGCAGCAGCTAGCCAAATTCACACATTGTGTTTGTACAAAAACATACCGGCACCTATGTAAAGATGACAGATGCACTGAAAGATGAGTAAGCATTCCACCGTATTCAAGCCGCAGCAGGAGGAAAAAAAAACCATCATCAAGGAGTTAGCTCGTCCGGTGCAGGAGAATCATATTCGTGACTCAGCTAGCCAGATCACCCAATAACTTACTTGGTATTGTACACTGTACACAGTAATTTATGCAAGCAAACACCTGTTGCTCATGGATGATAGTGTCCTGAAATTTAAACAATTATGTTTTTTAATGGTAGTATAGTTGAGTTAAACAGTTGAAAAGTTAAAATTGATTGATTAATTAAACACTATATATAGATGACAGCAAACAATTGAAGTGAAACTTTTACATAATCTGACTTTGAGTTGAGATCTCAAATGTTGACTTGGTCGCCTATCTCGATGCAAGGAATGTGAGCTATCTTGCTCCACTACTCTCCTGTCTTCTCCTGACACCTGTTCTCCAGAAAAGAACAATTCTGGATGCTCAGACAAGAGAGCGATGCCGGCAAACCCTCTTTTGGCAGGAATTTGAGATTATCACAGCTTCTAATTTCAAGCTATTGGAGAGAAGTGAGGTGCTGAAAATCAAAGTGACATATTGACATATTGACAAAACCTCATTAATACATGCGTTAGTCCCATCATGGATTTCTGTAAATACACACTAGATATTGACAAAACCCTCATTAATTATTTCCTCACATATCCTATGACTCTTCCAACCATCCAATATTCCTGCCTTCCAACCCATTGATGATGTGGTCGAATCAACTAGTATATAAAAGTATGGCATTAAATATGACAATGCAGAATGTGGCAGGACTTATATCTCTGGTTTTATTAATCTTGTTATATACAGGAAGAAAGCACTGGATATCTGGCAAAACATTTCCAGGATGAAGTTCACTTAAAGTCCCGTTTTTCCCAGTTTGCATGAAATTCCTACTATGTAGGTTTGTTCTGCTATAAGCAATAATGTACATGATCACACAACTGAGGTTCAGAGTTGTTACCAAGAAAATTTCCAACATACGACGGCGTGCTCCAACCATCCTCCATCAAAATTAGGTTAAGGCGTATCATCAATTTCTCTGTGGCATCTTCCACCAAAACAGCTAATGAATCAGACAGTCGCCTCCGTAGTGGACGATCCTGAAGAATCCAAATAAAGGTACTTTATTAGATTTGATATCAAAGTCAGATGTCATCTTACATATAGAAATTAGAAAACCTACCTTTTTGTCCTGCTACAACTTTAGATATTCAAGTGATTGCTAATAAAGCCCACAATGGTAGAGAAGAATGATGTAATCTCTTAATTCCTTCGGATCAGCTTCTCGGAGAATAAGATGCTCACAAGCTGTGACAAAGTATCCTTAGCAGATGCAAGCTGAACGCCAGTGGAAAAATACCAAGTATCCTTATAAAGGCTTATATATATGCACTTAAGTTGGATTAGTTTTAAGTAGAAACTACATTCACTTCGGACAAAGTACGTGTCTTCATTTACACTTGATCTATCAATAAATTTAGCAGCACGTGCTGCCCTCAAGAAAAAATTCCCTGGTTGATCATGCTGAAATGGGCCAGAATGCGCCCTTCAATTTTTTTAGATCTGTACAAATAGTAAACTATGAGACCAGATGTAGCTAAGGTTAAAGCCTTGCACACATGTCCGAAGATCAAATATGCATGTAAATAAATTATATAAAGACAATGTCACTCACAAACAAATGTACACAAAGATATATTTAACCTGTACTTTGACTCACTTTTAGCACAAAACCCATGCTTACAACTGCTCAATTGAAATCTACTGGTTGACATTTACATCCTAGCGCATAGAACGTTTCATTTTTGAAAACTTATTAGCTGTTGGATGAAGGCTGGTGAACAAAAGCTTTTCTACTCATTGGTGAATTGTAAATCATGATTAGGAGGACCTGTAGATATGGTACCAACTCAGGTCCATATCCATAATATCTGACAACATATATGGTACCAACTTATAGGCAGGTTCATAATATTCTGACTAAAGATAAATTAGAAACAATGCGGAACGAAAAGGTTGTTCACTCTTCAATTAAATGTCAAATGAATACCTAAATTACAAGAGTAATCAAATAACAATATACCACAGGCAACATGATTCTCTTAAATGGAACGTGTGGATGAGGGATTTGAAAGTGCCAAGCGCAGGCTTAAGGCTTAATTAGTTAAAATTCACTACAAAAGATTATGCGGAAGGATATGACAGACAAGATGCAATGCATCGAGAGGGAATTGTAAATGACTGCTTGAAAGGAGACATTTATAAATGCTTTGTTTATGTGTGTAATGATCATGTAGTGCATTTCAAATATCTATGTCTGATGTTTCGCAGTTGATTTCTAACTAATGTATCCTAAATTCCTTGGTACTTTCAAATCCCTCATCCAAACACCGGGTGAGAGAACTAGGACTTCTAGCATACACAACTCACTGACATAGGACAATGCAAATAAAGGCAAAAAGACAGGTCTGTCAATATAGTAACATAAGTCACCTCACCTCACCTCCACTAAACCTGTTTGCAACATCTACATTGAACTCCTGAAATAACAAACGAGTAAGGCAGACTTCCATACCAAGTGGAGATATAGAGTTCATATTGGTCCTTCAGAAACCCTGAAATAAAGTTAAAAAAGGAATCTTGTGACTTAATGCTCTTTTCTTAATTATTCATATTTGTCCAGCCAATCAGAGTGGTAACTGGTAACCAGTTAGAACCTTGATTCTAAGTCCTTCATAAGAATTAGAAACAAAGACAAGTATTAAGAGAGTTTTACAGAATCTGAAGTGAAACTATTACAGAACCTTGATTAATTGAACAATTGAAGTGAAACTTTTACAGAATCTCAATCTTATATGTTATTGTATGAAAAATGGTGCTATGTACGAACCTGAATTTGACTTTAGATCTCAAATGATGACTTGGTCCTCAAACCGGATGCAAGGAATGTGAGCTATCTTGCTCCACTCTTCTCCCGTCTTCTCCTGACACCTCTTCATCAGAGAAGGACAGCGGTAGATGTTCAGATAAGATAGCGATGCCGGCAAACCCTCTTTTGGCAGGGATTCGAGACTATCACATCCGTAAATTTTGAGCTTTTGAAGAGAAGTGAGGTGTTGAAGTCCCCTTCCCTCCAAAGATTTTAGACTTTTCATTCCATAGATTCCGAGAGTGAGAAGAGTGGTAGGGAGCGTCTGTTCCTTGAGCACCGTCTCCAACACATCCTCGCTTCCCTTGATCAGAAATGTTCGAAGGGAGACAAGTCGTTGCAAACCCCAGTACTCCACCGAAGGCCACAGTTTCTCACAACTGCTGATATAAAATGATTGTAGGTTGGGAGGCAAACCTCCTTCTGCAAATGACTCTACATTTGGAAGACCAGATATCCACAAGTATCGAAGGGCGGTGAGTGTGTGTATTCGATCGGGCAATAACTTCAAATTCTCGCATTCAGAGACTTGAAAACGAGTAAGATTTTCAACATCAGCTCCTTCTCCAATGGAAAGGGATTCTAGATTTTCACTGCCCAAGATTGTAAGAGATGAAAGTTTGGGGAAAACGCCCAGCGGGAAGGACCTCAGTGAATCACAGCTATGGCTTAATGTCAACTCTTGAAGGGATGTCAATTTGGCCATCATCTCATGAGATAGGAATTCTAATCTCCTGCAACTTTCTATACGAAGATATGTCAACGAAGTGGGTAGACCATTTCTAGGGAACGACAGGAGGGACCCGCAATCATTGAGAGTCAATTTTTGAAGACGACTGCTCAAGTGCGGCTGCAAGCAATCTGTGCGACTAAAAATTTGAATATCAAGCATGGAAAGCGAGGACAGCGTCTCCGTCTCTAGTAACGACGAGAGACCAGGGCATCCATTTATTTTCAGATCCTGAAGAGATTGTCGCAAGGATTCCGCGTTAACAATGAGAGACCAGGGTATCCACCTACTCCTAGTAGCCCCTTCATGCAGAACCCCGCAGTCGGACACTTGAAGTTTTCCTCAATGCTTCCACAGGGTCTAGGAAACCTGCACGTTTTATTCAGTGCTTTCAGGAGTCTGGGGGACCTGCAAGTTCTCTTCATTGTTCGCAACCAAGTTCTGGAGGGCCTCTGGCTCCTCGCCCGTTCTTGCCTGCAAGCAAAGCAAACGATTAATGCATGAACAACCAGTTTCCAGAATGCATGGCCATAAGGCTGTATTTTAACAGCCTCACATATTTCCTGACTATGACATAAGTCAAAAATTTCTTTTCGGGAGTGAAATTCACTTAAAGTGCCACTTTTCCCAGTATAATTAATGAACCTCCTACTGATTAGGACTACCATGGTTCAGAGTTGTTACCAAG